GGTCCCCACGGGGTCGAGAAACAAATGTGTGTGTGTGTGTGTGTTAAAAATCGTTCACAAATGATGAAAATTGCCTCTTCCTCATTTCAAATGTTTTCTCAGAACTCACGTCTCTGGAGATCATGCGAGATTTTTCCTCCAAATCTGAATTCTCACAAGATTTCAAGAAGTCTTGGGTGATTTCAGACTGATACCTGAACGTTCGTGAATGAAATATCTGTCAGGTGTTGTCTCCGTACACCACACACTGTAAGACCAACCCTGATAAATCCATGATTTTTTTATCCTCACGTGTGGCGTCTCTCCGTCTTTCAAGATCGGACGACTGTTTTAAAATCTTTCCGTGTGACACAGGCCTTAGCTGAACTATTCAGTTCTGTGTCTTGTATTACGGACTGGCTAAAAACTGTCTTCAATTAAATTCCAGTAAGCCTGAAACTGATCACTTGTTACAGAGCAGAATATTCATCTGATCAAAAACCACCTAGGTTCTCTGGGCTCTTCTTCCCAGAAACCTTGGTGTTTTATTTGACCGGTGTCTCTGAACAGTTGTTAATGATGTGATTAGAAATTATTTTTATTATGTGAGAAAAATCTCTAAACTGAGGACTTTGTGAACTCAGTTGAACCTGGAGATGGTTGTGCATGTTTTTATCTCATCTTGTTTAGACATTTGAAACTCTCTCTTTTTTTCTTTAACAAAGTTTATAGTTGGTCCAGAACAGAGTCTTTTAACAGGTACTAACAGAAGAGCTCACATCACGCCAGTTTTATCCTCTTTACATCGGTTACCTGTTAAATTCAGAATTAGTTCTAAAATTTTAGTCTTGACTTTAAGAACTCTTGATGGACAGGCCCCTCAACATATTACGGAAATGTTGCCTTAGTCTTCAGTCTTCAAGCCAAAATCTCCTGAAAGTTMCTAAAACCAGATTAAAGACGTGGGGGGACCTGTCCTTTCAAACTAGAGCCCCCAGATTGTGGACCGCCCTGCTCCTGTGTCTTCGTAAGGTTGACTGTTGACTTGTTYAAGAAGCAGTTCAAGACTGTTGTTCAAACGAGCTTTTATTAGTTTTCTTAGACATAACTTTTTATTGTATGTTTTAACTCCTTCAGACTCCTTCAAATTTTATTCAGCAGGTTTTTACAGCTCTTCAGTATAGAAAGAAAGTGGAATTAAACATTTTTGTCATTTCATGTTTTTATTGGTATTTTTCCGTCTTATGGATTCTTCTTAGTGGATGCCATGACTTAATGAGAGTAAAATGTCATGAAAACTCGGGTTTAAAAAGCCATGTTTTTRATATAAAATTCATGCAGTTACTAATTATGCATGACCTTAACTGATATAATTGTGAATAATGAAACTTTTAGTAATTCTGTTTGCCTTCAATAATCCATTTTGGAACTTATACATCAGGTAAAATAAGTATTGAACACGTCACCATTTTTCTCAGTAAATATATTACTAGAGGTGCTAA